TGCTCTGCAAAGGAGCTTGCATGCATCTCCCAAACAATTTGTAGGATGAGGTTTACTTCTCCTTTCCACTCAGATAGAACTTTGAATTTTTCTACCACAGAGAGCAACAAATAAGGAAAATGCCAGGCTAATGACTCCAGTTCCCAAAATTCCTGGTCTATCCTGACTGAGAATTCTGGGAATTGAAGGCCAAAACATATGGAACTCATTGCTTTGGAGAAGGCTGGCTTAAAGAAACTTGCTGAAAGGACAACCAGAAAAAGAAATCAGATCTGCTACCAGAGTTACTGCTATCTAGACGGGGATTCCTATTAGTGAAAATAACAATAAAACCATGCATATATACCAGAGCCTTTTACTAATGTTATTCTGTTCTAAGCCCTACCATAAAACTGAAAGAGAGTTCAGCAGAATCTTCACGTAGCATATGAACTAGCTAGCCCAAGGCTATTTGCATCAGCAGTGCATACCAGAGAGTGATAAGGCAAAAGGGAAGGCAGAAATAACTTGAAGACGACATGTTATACCCACATTTTTATTGGTTAGATTTCTACACTGACCAAAGTGAAAAGATCCATGCATCAAGAAGTGTGACTGTTTTGCCAATCAAGTTTGGAAGGAGCCAGAAACCCCAAAATCAAACCCAGAACCCCAGAACCCATGAATCTGTTTGCCCGGAGACTACAATGTACCATAAATCTCTCTCCCTTAGGGTCCACCAAGCTTCCTGATTTTTTTTTTTTTACCTTAAATTTAAAAAGTGGAATCATCTCCCAGCATCATATTTATTTCCAAGAACATTTTGGGGCCCCAAATGTTTTTCTAGAAAACAAAGATGGTTGATAGCAGTAGGCCAGTGTTCTCTTTGGGAATGTGCTCAGCTATACAGGCAAAGGACAAAAGTGACGCGAGTTCTGGAGGAAGGGGGTTGGTACGTCACATTTTGGCCAATTAATTATTTGCAACTCATTATGTCAGGATTTTTTTTAATGAATGGGCACCCTTCCCCCTCATCTTCCATGTTCTTAGTGCACCCACATTTTTCTAGTACACATACTGGTTACTGAGGCCCAGTATATACTGAAAATCAGTTCACTCAAGAAGATGCAGGGCTTGATCTAAAGGATGAAGCCATTTAGGTTCACCCTAAATAAGAGACCTCAAAAGAATTCAATGTGTGCTCCCTTATTTATCATAAAAAAGATGGATCTACTTACAGAGCCTCCAAGCCACAAAATTATTTTACAAAATCAGATTTCTTTCCTTCCTTCCCTTTTTTTTTTTTGGGGGGGGGGGGTGTCACCAATAATCGAGTCAATGCATATATACAAGAATAACCCAGACTTTGTGGGTTATCTTAAACATTCTGTGAGTTAGCTTCCTATAATAATCATTGTTTATCTTTCAGATGCCAGTGGTTTTTTTTCCCTCCCCCTTCAGCTACTTTAGAACAGGCACAAGCCTGAGGGCAAGTAACTTTTTTTTGTTGTTGATTCATTTCCTTTCCTCAGCTGCACTGGAACAGCAACCTAGCTGGGTTTTTTTTAAAAAAAGGCCAAACTCTTTCACGGGGAAGCGAGAATTGAAACCATGCATAAGTACATATACAGATGGATGCTAAAGGAGCGCTTCCTAATTTAAGAGGCTGCCGCATATGGAGAACTCTCATCTTTTCTGCTCAGAATTCAGCCGCAGCTCCTACTACTCCCCAGTAAGCGCTTTGATGCCGGTCCCATGCCAGAAGCAAGAGCATCCGGGGAAAGGGAGGATTTTACTAGACGGAGGTTCCTCTCCACAACTAAGACATTTCGGGCAGGGGCGCGGCACTCTTACCCAGGCGGGAAGCTCGTTCCGACCCAGGCTTCGGCCCAGATCCACGGCGCTCTTCACCGTCACCTCTTCCTCGCCCAGGATCTTTCCGGCAGTCTGCAACGATCGCTCCTTGCTCAGTCGCCGGCTCCGCCAGCCCATGTAAAGGGCCACGCCAGCGACTACGAAGCCCACGCTGAGCCCCGCCCGGCCGGCCAGATACACGGGCAACAGCCACAGCAACCGCCGTCCGATCGCGCCTAGCGCCGTCAAGGCTTCTGCAGAGCCGAAGCCTCCCGGCAAACGCGATCCCGAACTGGACGGGATCGGATCTGACGGCCCGGCTTCTTGCTCCGTGGGCTGCTCCATGGTGCTTCCAGCCAGGACCGACCGACCGACCGGACCGCGTAAAAAGCACCAGGCTGGCACTGCGGCTAACTCAACCGCTTCTGGAGTCCCGCGGCTGTTGCAGTCATGGATCGAGGAGGCGGGGCGTGGTCGAAACAACGCCCCTCCGCGCCAGCGGATTGGAGGATGAGACCCCCTGAAGGCGGAGCTAAGGCGGCAATAAGCGGGGGGGGGGAGGGGGTAAACGGCGTTCTTTGATTAGACCAGATTCCCGGAGGAAGACACGGCAGGACCAGAAAGCCCCGCCCTTCCTTGTCCTGATTGGGCAGCGAGTGTTCCAAGATAATGGAACTAAGCAACGGCTTTCTTTACAGTAGTTTTGACTTGGCTGCGCGCTCGGTGGGAGGAGTTTTTCAGACAATTAACTGTTGATTGGTGGACTGCTTGTTGGGCGGGCGGGACGACAGGCGTGGCAAACTTTGCATCACTCCGAATTCGTAGCTTTGGGGTAGGAAGTCGAGGAGAGTCGCATTGCTTTATTATTCTTACGTATTATAAAAAGCCCATTTCCCCCCCCCTCTTAATTTTCTTAACGGACTGGTCTTTCTCTTTTCTTGTTATTCCTGAAATTTTGCAAGAACCGTCCCAAATTGCGAGCAAATCCAGGTTCATTAAGCCAGCAATACAGAGAGGTAGCAAACAAGTAATCTAGGGGGCTCAGCAATTCTTTACCAAAAAAATGAAAATAAAAACAAAACCAACGATCGCTAATAATAGAAGATAAAACTGAAAGAAAAACGAACAATTAAAATACTGAACATTCTTAAAAATTGGTCAGAATAGTGGACCGGGTTTTGTCACAGCCAGTCGTTTAATTACCGAATTATATATGAAAACAAAAGGCTTTCAGTGCGTTGACTCAGCAAGTCTGTATTTCTTGAATCCATCCCCCCCAAAAAAGACTAGCTGATTATTCTAAATATTTTTGAGATTTGTCAGAATTTGCCCAGTTCCTTCTTGAAATACGTTTTATCACCTGTTACAGTAGGATTGATTTCATAACTGTTTATTCAAACGAGCTTTTAAGTGCTAAGGTTTCAATAAATTCCATATTATTTGGGGGAAAAAACCCTAACATCTGTATTAATGTAAATCATTATCAATTAAAGGGGAGGTATATACAGTCATGTGAAAAAGTACACCCCATTTAAAAAATTTTCTTTGAACTTATGTGGACATACTAATATTTTATCTTCATTCAAACAATATATAATTTTTAAAAACTATGAAAAAAATGACTCGGAGTCATTTATTTAACAAATAAATGAACAGATACGCCATTTCTTTCTATGAAAACAGTAAGTAGATCTTTGGCTCTAGTACCAGGTATTGCTTCCTTTGACAGAAATAACCTCAAGCAAGCCTAACTACAATTCTCTGACATCTACTGAGCGGATTCCTTCTCCCCATTTCTCCACACAGTATTTTTTTTTCAACTGGGCAACAATGCTTGAGTTTCTTGGATGCAGTGCCTGAATTGAATCACCCCACAGTATCTTGATGGAATTTAGATTCAGGCTTTGACTTGGCCACTCTAGAACTCGGTTTCTCTCTCTCTCTCTCTCTCTCTCTCTGTGTGTGTGTGTGTGTGTGTGTGCCATTGCTTGATTTGTTGTGTTACAAGCTCCATTTCCACCTGAGCTTCAGTCTGTGACTCATTCTTAAGCACCCTACAGGTAATACCCGGGGTGGGCTGCTGGGGGTTTGCAGGGGTTTGGGAGAGACTCTAGCTAAGATTCTGTGCAGTTTGGAGAACCCCCAACTTCCACTCCTGGCTGGCCCTGCCCACCTTGCCCCTCCCCTCCTAGGAGTCCCCCACACACCCCATTTTGGATGAAGGTAAATGCAAGGTGCGCGCAGAGGCTCAGGGAGGGCGAAAAATTGACCACCTGGAAGTTCGGGAAGGTCAGGAATGGGTCCGTTTCCGGCTTCCAGAGATCCTCCGGAGCCCAGGGAGGCCATTTTCACCCTCCCGGAGGCTCGAGCAACGCCTCCAGAGCCTGGGGAGGGCATAAACGCCCCCCCCCCACCAATGTGGTGCAGGAGGCCGACTAGGCTATGCCCACCATGGCCACGGCCACCCAGCAACCGGGCAGACCTTTGCTAAAATTTTTGAAGCCCACCCCTGGTACTATCTCTTTTACTTATATGATGTTTGATTCCTAATACATTTAGTAATTTAGTTCCAGTAAATATAAAGGTACCCACACACTTCACTTGCATAGTTCTTAATTCCATAAGAAAACCACCAGATTGCAAGAACACAAACGAGTAGTGAAATGAGGAGACCGGAACTCATTGGTAGCCTCACACCATAATGAACAAGGAAACACATTCAATTTTGCAATTAACCAAGATTGTGGGATGAGCAGGCATAAAAACAGCCAAGGAAGTGATTGATGTCTGAGAAACAGGCCCCTCATCAGTCAATAGGAGTGCTGATTTGCTATCAGCCTATTAAATAATTAGAAGGTGAGGGGTTGGCAGCTAATGACTTAAAAGCCAGCCATCAACACATCCCAATCAACATTTTAAAAGCCACTTAAAACAGACACTATAAATACCACACACGCAAAATAGCGCACACTCTGCTAGAGAGAAGTTACCTGAAGATGGGCTCTAGCATGAGTCTGAAAGCTTGGAAGACAGAACCTCTGGTTCTGGTGTCCGATGCAGATTGGATCCTGCAGTATTCTCATTCACTTTTATACAGAAACTGAGCTCATGACTTTAAAATACTTCTACCATACCTTAAATTACAAAACTTCATTTTCTATAGAGGGTATTATGAAGACTGATGGGAATGCTTAATGAGACCAACTTTTTTGGTTCAACTCTGAAACTAATAGTTTGATTAAATTATTGCTCAATTTTAAAACTTTAGGACATTTTAAAATTCTTTTTAAAATGCTGAACATTATCCAAGTATATTCAATCCATTATGTTATTTTTTGAGTCAATTCACTTCATCATCTCTGACATCATCTCTGGATTCACAACACTGTCTCACCGAAAGAAAGCTTACAAAGATAAAATAATATCCATTTGTCTGATTGCATTTTATTGTTTGCGTGTCTAGCATTCCAACTTTAATAGGCTTGCTGCAGGTTCAAGGACTGAATGGATATGAAATTACCAAAATATTGTAACAATTTAGCCATTATCAAGCAAACAGAGCTAGCTTTAATTCATTTGCAATTCTGGCTACTCTTTCCCATCTTTCTCACTATCCCATGTTTAATTACTATATCATTTTACTTGTCTCCTAGTTACCGAAGCACATACAAACTTTCATTCCTAAATTCTCAAGGATCCTCAAAAGAGTGCTTTGTATATGGCACAAACAGTGTTAATTATCAGCAAGGATTGGTAGCATGTTCTTCTCCTGCTCTGCTTTCAATCATTCAGAATAGAGCTGGAAGGGACCTTTGAGGTCTTCTAGTCCAACCCCTGCTCAAGCAGGAGACCCTATATCATTTCAGATAAATGACTGTCCAGTCTCTTCTTGAAAACTTCCAGTGATAAAGCACCTACATCTTCTGATGGCAAGCTATTTATAGAACTTAATTTGTAGAACTTAACTTTAAAGAATTTAATTTATAATAAAGGCAATATAGTTTGCATGCATTTTTAAAAGCCAGCCCAGATGAAATGGAAAAATTGTGTTTCTTAAAGACAGCTACTGTATAAATACAACAATTGAGGGGAAGATATTTTTCCCCTATTTGAAAATCGTCAATTTAATAAACAACTAAAGCTATGAAACTTCTCAGTTCCCCATTTTTATGGAAGTTAATATTTGGACTATAATATTTTATATGTGCCATATTGCCCTAAAACACACTATCACTGAGAATGAGAGCCACATATGAGGAATTCTGCTAAGCAAGCCTCTGGCTTTTCTCCCCCTTTAAATGTTTTCTGTTCCTCAAAGACTGACATATAAATGTAATGAATAAATAATAAATATTTATCTAAAACCCAACAGTTAATACAGAATCCTATTTTCTGCTTCCTTCCCCAATGATTGCATAGACAGAAACAGTGGAACATAATCGCCTTTCCTCACTGTGAATTCTGGCTCTATTTTAGCTGGGCAAGATCAGGGGACAATCCTGTAGTTTTATACTGATTTCTTAAATAGTTTTCAAAATTAAATTCACAGATAAGAAGCTAATTCATATGATCCATTGAATACCAAGTGCAAGCTTAATATGAACTATGCTTCAATTCCTGCTAGTTTATATGAAATATAGTATTTATTTTCTGAAACGAGATTTGAAACATTTCTGAAAATATGTCCTCTATAGCAGTGGCTGTCGTATTATTACTTAAATTTGCCTCTTTTCTCCAGGACACTGCCTAGATGTTCAGAATCTCTCTCATCTCCTAAACACAAAGTCAATCCAGATGCCATACAGATAATATATTTACCAGTTACATGTTGTCTACCTTTGTACACAGCCTTTCGTAAAACAATTAATCTGCATTAGCTGAGCATTAGCTGACACTCTTTGCCAACAATCCTCGCTTCAAATGTTCTCATCTGGAGCTGCCAGAATTTCTCTTGAAAAGAGCACAAAGCAATTTGTCTGCCAGGATATTGAATAGCTATCGCTTGAAACTACAGGCACATTGTTTATGATCTGTATTTTAAAGCAATGTTTTAGCCAAAAAGACTGTGCCAGTGAAGCAATTTTGTATAATTTCTTCCAAGACTATTTATTTATTTTCATATATTATATAATTAATTATAACTAATTCAAGGTACCGAACATACCTGCTTCCAGGGTTGGGATTCAATCGGTGTTACTATCAGTTTGGTGACTATGTTTTGCTGCACACATGTGTAAAAAACCTTAAGCTGTGCCGCCCGGACAGCTGAAAAGCGCTGCGTGCGGGTGCAGTGTTTCAAAAGCCACTTTTTTCCTGCTTTTTCAACCTCAGCTGTGCTGCACAAAGCAGCTGAGGTTGAAAAAGCAGGAAATAAAGGGTAGATAATAACCCAGGTGGGTGGGTGGGCCAAACAGCAGCAAACATAGAACCAGTTTGCTGTCTGCTGCT